GAGCGTATGCCCAGGCCACAGCCAGGGAGCAGAAGGAGCCGACCCAGGAAGGAAGAAGCCCCAGAGAAGTGAACTGGGAAGGAACTGGAAGAGGCAACTAAGCTGCAGCCCCAAAGGATGAGCCCAGCGGCCATGACCCCGCCCCAGGCTACGCCCCTCTGGCTCCGGCACCCACCAGCAGAAGACTCTGGACGTGGTCGGCCCCGATCTTGTCAATGTTGCTGACGACTGGCCCCTCCACAATGCCGCGCACCCGCTCACCCTCCACCTGCAGCCGGGGCAGGATCAGCGTCTTGATCACCTGGGGGAAAGGAGCTGTCAGCTGGGAGGCCGCCCTCCAGCATGTCCCAGGATGCGTCCCTTTGCCCCGCCCCTTCACCCCTGAGGGCGCATCCCCTCTCCCAGAGCTGTTCCCAGCACACCCCAAATCCCTCTCCCCCTTGTGGACCCAGGGTCTCACTCACGTCATGGCCCAGCTCAGCCAGCCCGGCGATGGAGCCGTACCGTGTGGTCCAGGGGGTCTTGTCGTCCACCCAGCTCTGTGGGGACAAGGGAGCGGTGAGCTCTGCACCCAATTTCCCAAGGGGCCCCTCCCCAGGCCCCGCCCACCTTGGTGAAGGTCTTGGTGATGCGGGATTGGATGTTGTTGGTGGTGGTGCTGAAGTTCTTGCAGATCTGGGCAATGAGGCGGGCGGCGAAGTCCCTCAGGGCCCAGTGATTGTCCACGTCCGGCCGCAGGCAGAGCTGCCGGCTCACAATGCAGGTCATCACGGCCGGGATCAGCTCGTGCAGCTGGTGGTGGTGGGGAGAGAGGTCAGTCACCGTCCACCCCACCAGGACCCAGCCCACTCCGGCCACCCCAGCAGGGTTCACACGGGGAACAGAACCCGTGGCTCAGCGCCTGCCCCCGAGCAAAGCCAGGAGCCTGGCGGCCACTCACATATTTCTCCAGGTAGAGGGTGGGGTTGTCCATCAGGGCCTTCACCATCCGCATCAGGTAGATGAGCAGCGCCAGGTTATTCTGCACCACATTCACACGCACCTGGGTGGAGATCCAGTCAGGGTTTGGTGCAGGGGGCCACAGCCTGAGGGGGGCTCAGCCTGGCTCCTTGCCCTCACAGAACCCCCAGCCTAGAGGGGCCGGCCCAGGGCCCACAGCCTGGGGAACGTGGCCTGGCTCCCCTGCCCACCATGGGACCTGTAGCTTAGAGGGGCCGGCCCAGGGCCCACAGCCTGGGGAACCTGGCCTGGCTCCATGCCTTCCTGAGCTTAGAAGAACTGGGCCAGGAATCACACCGAGGTGCTTGGCCCCGCTCCCCAGCCTAGAAGGGACAGACAGGCCAGGGGGTCACAGTCGGGTCGCTCCGACTGACGACAGCTCCTCCCCATACCCCCTCGGAGATGAAGGTGCTGAAGCGCGGCAACATCTGGTAGAGGCCGGGGTCCGTGGCGATACTCTGCAGGGCTTCCTGGGGGGCAGAGAGAGCAGCCTGTCAGCGCAGGGGGTGGGGAGAGAGGGGGTTGTGCCCAGGGACAGGGGCTCATGCATGCTCTGGGGGGACAGACAGCAGGGTCTGGGGGCTGAGAGAGCCCAGCAGCGAGGAGGGGGTGGGGTGGGCTCTGTCAGGGGGAATTCTCTCAGCTCTCGTGGGAGCCCACATAGATGTGGGGTGATGGGGAGCACTCATAGCTCTCGTGGCCTCACAGGAGCCCATGCACACCCCAGGAGGGGGGCGGATGGAGGTGATGGGAGCATCCAGCAGTGGAGGACTGTGGGAGCTGGGATGGAGCCCCAGGGGGAGCAGTGAGAGCACAGAGGGGCTGAGGTGGGGGACAGAGGGTGCTGACGACAGGGAGCAGTGCAGTGGGAGGGGTAGGGGGTGGCGCATTGGGGCACTCACGGCTCGCTTGGCCTCACAGGAGCCCACACAGGCCTCGGTGATCTCCTTGTAGTACAGGCCCCGCCCCTCCCCCTAACCCCGCCCCCTCCAGCACTGGACCCTTCTTCTCCTTCCCTGGGGGGCAGGGTGTGAGCACAGCCCTGCCCCTCCCACAAACCCCACCCCTCCCACACTGGGCCCTTCTCCTTCCCTGGAGGGCAAGGTGTGAGCACAGCCCCGCCCCTCCCACTAACCCCACCCCTCCCCCACTGGGCCCTTCTCCTTCCCTGGAGGGCACAGTGCCCCTTGCCATGCAGCCCCACCTCCTGTGGCACTGGAACCATCTTCTCTTTTTCTCCTTCCTGGGGGGGGTGGGGAGGGAAATGAGCAGAGCCCCCCCCCTTCCTGCTAGCCCTGCACCCTGCTGCACAGCCCCACCCCTCCAGCAGCCAGGTGGCCTTCTCCTTCCTGGGGTGGTGGGAGGGGTCAGATGCAGCAGGGCTTGTCCCTGGAACATGGCCCTGCCCTCTTCAACACTGCTCCACCCCCTGGCCTGACCCCCTCCCTGTCCCAGCACGCAGACCTTCTTCCCATGAGGAGCAGGAGCCATGAGACAGTGCAGGGTCACCCCGACTAGCAGCCCACAGCTTACACCCCTCTAGTGACTGGCCCCATCCCCAGCACTACTCTGCATCCATTCTCCCAGCCTTCGAAGCCCCTGGCCCTGCTGCTCTGCTTGGGACTGACCTTTGCCATCCGGAGTACTTGCGCTTTGCCCTTTACCCTTTAGCGTCCCAACCTCCTCCTGCCCTGGCTTCGTGGGCTTCAGCGGCTCCGTGGCCTCTGCTTTCTGCTGCTCCTTGGGGGCTAGAGACACAGCAGGTTCACCAGCCAGCCCCAAAGGCACAGCCCTTTCGCACGGGGATGCAGCCACCTCTGGGGTGGGGCGGCTGGTTATACAAGGACCCCTCGCCCAGCATGGAGATGCAGCCACCTCTGGGGTGGGGCAGCTGGTTACACAAGGACCCCTCGCTCAGCGCAGAAATGCAGACACCTCTGGAATGGGGCAGCTGGTTACATAGGGACCCCACATGCAATGCTGAAATGCAGCTATGTCTAGGGCAGGACACAGGACAACATCAAGGGCACTTCTCAGTAGGAAACGCATTATCTTTTGACCAGGCTGCTGGATCAGTCTCTAGTTTCGGGGACCACAGCAGATGGCACTTGGAAAAGCTTGTCAGTCACCCTGCTCTGCAGACCAAGCGCCCAGACAGAACAGACACGCAGGAAGCAGACAACTCAAGTCCCTGTGGGGCACTGCACCTGGACACCTGGCTCCACAACTCACCTGGGGGCGGATTCTCAGGGATGGCGGGCTGAGTGCCTTCGATGCTGAGCCAGTGAGCTGAAAGGGAGCGGAGAGAAGGATCAGGGGCAAGCAGCACTGCAGGCTGGGTGCTGCACCTCCCGTTCCTTGCCCCCACATAATCCTTTGCTCTCCATGCCCCCTCATCCCTGTCTGCCCCATGTTGCCCCCACCTTTGAGGCACACGTCCAGCGGGACACGGGGCAGTGGCGTGTTGATGATGTCGCTCAGATCCACTTCTTTCTCTTCATAGAAGTAGAGCTCGCGCCCGCCCCCACTGGCATAGCGGAAGGGGATGAACTCCTGGGCATGAAAGCCATACAGCGGCTGTGGGGAGAGGGACATAGAGGGTGAGCTGGAGTCCCCATGTCAGAGCCTTCCCTTGGCTCAGCTCCATGGCTCGACCTGCCTTTCGGCACAGCCCCCGTGCTATACATGCCTGGCTCCCAACAGTAAATACAGCCTGGCTCTGTGGCTCTACCTGCCTTTTGGCATGTCCCTTGTGCAATACACACCTGCTGCACCAGGGAGAGGAGCACCATTTTGTCCTTGGGAAAACATATACCTATGCTGGAAATTGTCTCCCTGAATGTTACATGCGCCCTACCATAGTGACCGGCAGGGGGAACCTCCCCCCCCCAAAGCTCAGGGGAGTCTCTGTTCTAGGAATTCAGGCCTTGAAATCCATGAAAAGCCCCTCTGCACTTCAGAACTGTCCTCCCCTCCCCAGCACCAAGCACATGGCCTTACTCAGATGGCCCCCAAGCCCACAGGACTCCAATGCCAGCCAAGAGCCTGCCCCACAAGCTCCTCGGGGCTGGGACTGCCCCTTTTACCTCCACGTTCTTCAGTTTCAAGGCATAGTCCACGTCGCTGGTGGTCAGCTTCCGACGCTTGCCCATGTGCATGAACTTCAGAGCATCCTGCAGGCAAATGGGAGGTGAGGGTTGTCTCACCCCTCTCTGCTCCAAGGACCCTCAGGCAACCAAGGGCAGGAGCAGAGCAACTGGGAGGTGGAGGCATTGGGTGCACGAGGTTCTCCTCGGGCCAGAAACTGGATGGGAGGGTCTTGGGACAGCTGGGGGCCCTGTATACCCGTGTGATTTCCATAACCCACCAACTGCTCAGGACAATGTCCGGGGGCCCACAGCTGGGTGATCTTCCAAAGACAGGGAAGTGAGGCAATGCTAGGGGCAGAGAGTGCCTGTGGGACCCCCTGCCCATACATGGGCAATCTGCTGGAGCCGAGAGGATGTGGCAATGCCAGGGAAGGAAGGGGAGATGCCGTGGACAGAGGAAGATTAATAAGACTGGGGCATGTCACCTTACAAAAGAGGAGACTAAAGAGGGATATGATGGACGTGTATAAAATCACAACCAGTGTGGACAAAGTAAATAAGGGAAATTATTTACTTGTTCCCATAGCACAAGAACTAGGGGTCATCAAATGAAATCAATTGTTAGCAGAATTAAAGCAAACCAAAGGAAGTAGTTTGTCACACAGCCAACCTGTGGAACTCCTTGCTGGAGGATGTTGTGAAGACCAGAATTTTAACTGGGTTCAAAAGAGAGCTAGATACGTTCACGGGGGTTCTGTCCATTAATAGCTATTAGCCAGGATGGGTGGGAGTGGCTATCCTAGTCTGTCAGAGGCTGGGAATGGGCAGCGGGGAGGGATCCCTGTTCCGGTCACTCCCCTCTGCCGAGGACGGGGTGCCCGTACCTGGGTGATCTCCTTGACGCGGTAGCTGACCTCGTCGGCCAGCAGCTGGCAGGTCTCCTCGGGCACCTGGGCGATGCCCACGGCCTCTGCCATCACCTTCATGGACTCGGCCGGCAGCAGCGTGTGGCTCAGCTTCGCCTTCTTCTCCTCGGCCGCCATCGCGCCCCGCCGCACCTGCGGGGAGGGGGGTGAGACACGGGCCGGGGCGGCGGAACCTCCCGCCACTGCGCGGCCCGGACCCCAAGGGCCCCATCCCCCACCTGCCTGGCCCCGCCCCTTTCCCTAGCCCCTCCCCTAACTCCCGCCCCCCACCGTGCCGGCGCCCCTCCCTCTCCCGGCAGCTGCACGCCCGCGCTGCGGCAGAACCTCCTCGCCCCCGCTACATTCCCCCACCGATCCCGGTGCCGCGCTACACCCCTGCCAGGACCCGAGCACCTCCGAGGGGCGGGGGCAGCCCTGGAGACCGGCAGGCGGGCAGGGACGCACTGCGCAGGCGCGGGATGGGGCGCGGGCGGAGGACAGTGCCTGTGTGCGTGGTGCCTCACAGCTAGGACGGCGCCTGCGTGCCGCGCATGGATTCCTTTCTACCAAGCATGTGCAACATGGCCAAGTGCGGAAAACATGCGCGCTAGCGCCCCAGCCTTTGGTTGATGACGCGCATGAGCAGTCCAGATCCCTTTTTTTTTTAGAGGCACGCCACATCCCCACGCATGCGTCGCTCTCCCGCTTGCTGCGCTCTGCGAGGCGCCTACTGCTCATGCTTCATCCCCTCCCTCCCCTTCCCCCCTTAAAGGGCCACCGCGGCTATTAGCAGCCTTAGCCTAGGACTGGTGCGGGGCTACGCGGCTCCCCCTGCTGGGGCTGCAGCTGAGGAGGAGGAAAGGCGAGCCACCCCCTGCGAAGGTAATGGGGGCGCGTCTCTTAAAGGGGCCATGGCCTGTGTGGGGAGGTGAGTGGAACTGCTAGGGACTGGGGTTCAGGCCAGCTGTGCTTTGCAAGCTAAGATGGGGAAGGGAGCCATGGTCTCCTGAGATATCCACGTGGTCTGTATGGGGCTGAAAGAACCAGGCCAGAGGTGGGGACACAGCCTCAGTGTAGAAATGGCAGCCGTCACTAGCAGATCCATATGGGCTATATAGGAACTGGGGGTGGGGGACAGGGCATGGGGCATTGCATGGGCAGCTGCTAACCACCTGGCAGTATGTAAGTACCTCGGAGGTGCTGGAACTGGGGCAATCAGAAGAGGCACATCAAATACAATATGTTGTAAGTGTAGGTGCTAGGGTCCGGGATTCCTGGGTTCTCTCCCTGATTCTAGGAGGGAAATGGGGCCGGGGAGCATTGAAGGGGAGGAGTTGGTGTCCTGAACACCTGGGTTCTCCAAGCCCTTTGCATGTCATAGGTTGCATGGCACATGCCCAAAAACCCAGTTTCCTTTTCCCCACAAACTCTAGAATTTCTCTTTGACCAACTTCCAAAAGCAAATCTTCCCTTTGATAATGAAAGGCTGAAAATTTCCATCCACAAACCTTTAGCTTATTGTTTTTAGACCAAACCAGGACAAATTCTCCCTTTGCACAAACCCTTGCAGATTTGGGGCCATTTTGCCTGGGAACTGACCTTGATGGTAAAGTGCTGCTGGCTGAAAAGATGCCCTTCCCCCACTCTTAAAATCTTAAATGAGCCGAAATGTTCCATAGAATCTCTATGGATAGTAATTCCATGCTCCAATAATAAGAATGTGGCAGTAGGGATATATTATTGACCACTTGATTAGGACAGTGGTATTGAAATTAGAGAGGGTATCAAAAAACTCAATAATAGTGGGGGATTTAAACTATCTCCATCTTGACTGGGGACACGACACTTCAGGATGGGATCCAGAGATCAAATTTATTGATATCTTAAATGACTGTTTATTTGAGCAGCTGGTTTCAGAACCCACAAGGGGAGAAGCTATTCTTGATTTAGCCCTAAGTGGAGAGCAGGATCTGGTTCAAGAGGTAAATATAACTGGACTGCTTGGAAATAGTGACCATAATGTAATCAAATGTAACATCCCTGTGGTGGGGAAAACACCTCAGTAGCCCAGCATTGTAGCATTTAATTTCAGAAAGGGGAAATATACAAAAATGAAGATAGTTAAACAAAATTTTTAAAAGGTACAGTGACAAAAGTAAAATCTGTGCAAGCTGCATGGAAACTTTTCAAAGACACCATCATAGAGACCCAACTTAAATGTATACCCCAAATTAAAAAACACAGTAAAAGAACAAAAAAGTGCCACTGTGGCTTTACTGGGTAAAAGCAGCAGTGACAGATAAAAAGACACCTTTTTAAAAGTGGAAGTCAAATCCTAGTGAGGAAAATAGAAAGGAGCATAAACTTTGTCAAATTAAGTGTAAAAATATAATTAAAAAAGCCAGAAGGGAGTTTGAAGAACAGCTAGCCAAAAACTCAAAAAGTAATAGCAGAATGTTTTTAAGTACATCAGAAGTAGGAAGCCGGCTAAACAACCAGTGGGGCCCTGGGACGATTGAGATGCTAAAGGAGCACTCAAAGATGATCAACTTATTGCAGAGAAGCTAAATCAATTCTTTGCTTCAGTCTTCATGGTTGAGGATACTGGGGAGATTCTCAAATCTCAGCCATTCTTTTTAGTTGACAAATATGAAGAATTGTCCCAAATTGAGGACAATTATTAGAGGAGGTTTTGGAACAAACTGATAAACTTAACAGTAACAAGTCACCAGGACCAGATGGCATTCACCCAAGAGTTCTGAAAGAACTCAAATTGGAAATTGCAGAACTATTAACTGTGGTTTGTAACCTATCCTTTAAATCAGCTTATGTACCTAATGACTGGAAGATAGCTAACATGACACCAATATTTAAAAGGGCTCTAGAGGTGATCCTAATAATTACAGACTGGTAAGTCTAACATCAGTACTGGGCAAATTAGTTGAAACTATAGTAAACAATAAAATTGTCAGACATATAGATGAACATAATTTGTTGGGGAAAAGGCAACGTGGTTTCTGTAAAGCAGGAGTACTCAATTTTGGAAGCCCTGGGGACCATAATGATACAGCACATGCCAAGGGCTGCATCTTAAGTGTAGTTGCTTATACATGCAAATAGCTTCTTTCACACTGGCAGGCATGTATGCAATGATTAAGCCTTAAGCTGCAGCACCGGAACCAAATGTGGCCAGTGTGAGCCAGTCAGCACCTCTCAGGCTCTGCCCACAAGGGTAAGCAACCATTAATTTCCACAATGCCCTGGCATTCCCCGCATCTCCTCTCTGGAGGCTTAGAAACGCCAACACCCTGTACCCATCTGTTTTGCCAGCCTGTCCACTTGCATCTTTCAGTGCTCACCCTGCCTGAGAACGCCTCACCGTTGTCGAGTGTGTTCCCAGGCCATGTTCAAAGGATCCCACCCGCGGGCCTCGTGTTGAGCCCCATGTAAACCCAAACCACACCACGGGCCACAAATGGGCTGTGAGCCACATGCGGCCGCAGCCCTGCTGTAAAGGGAAATCACGCCTTATTAATCTACTTGAGTTCTTTGAGGGGGTCAACAAACATGTGGACAAGGGGGATCCAGTGTACTTAGATTTCCAGAAAGCCTTTGACAAGGTCCCTCACCAAAAGCTCTAAAGCAAAGTAAGTTGTCATAGGATGTAGTGGAGCCTGGACTACCTTGCCTAGAAGATAAATGGTGATGTCTTACTTGTCCCCGGTTCATATCTCTAAAAAGCAAAACCCAGGCCTGTCTCAAGTCTGGTTCACACAGGAAAGGTTTGGGAGGTAGGAATGTTTTGAATAACAATGCAGATTAAGTGTGGTACAGTGAGACCACACAAAAAGCAACCTTATATTGGTACTTCTGTTTCTGATAAGCAAAAATTACAGATACAGTCATACAACTGTCAACCACACACATAACAGCAACATCCTGAGAAGGACGTGCTGCAAATAGGGCATTGGAAAGTCTTGCTATGCTATAAAATGGGCTTAGTAAGAACAATCAATGGGCAGGATTGACCCACAGATCTTGCTTAATGTAGCTAGAAGTAAGTAGGCCCTTCTCACCAGCACCCCAGTGCATGGCTTTCCATTGCATGGGAATTAAAGGACCTTCCCAGTGCATGGGAATCAACCAAGACCTCCTGCCTGGTACTATAGGTAGCATATGGGTGAAGTGTAAGTGAACTAGGCTTTATTATAGTAGATTTTTTTTTATTAATTGCTTTTGCATTGCTTTGAGCTCTATTAATTGCTTTAGTATCTATAGTATTTAAGGTTTAAATTATATAGTAATTGTTTTTAAGGCTTATAAAACTTAAACAAATGTATTAACTGCTTCAAGCTTGTAATAAATGAGAAAGTGGTTAAGTCTCCCTAGAGTGTCCTGGTTTCCCTTGGATCGAAAATATATCGAACTACACGACATGAGATAAGAGGAAATGTCCTTTCATGGATTGATACTGGTTAAAAGATAGGAAACAAAGGGCAGGAATAAACTATAAGTTTTCCGAATGGCGAGAGGTAAATAGTGAGATTCCCCAAGGGTCTGTCCTGGGACCCATCCTATTCAACTTATTTATAAATGATCTAAAGAAAAGGGTAAACAGTGAGGTGGCAAAATTTGTAGATGATACCAAACTGCTCAAGATAGTTAAGACCAAAGCAGTCTGTGAAGATTTTAAAAAGCTCTCAACAAACTAAGTGACTGGGCAACAAAATGGCAAATAAAATGTAATGTTGACAAATGTAAAGTAATGCACACTGGAAAAAATAATCCCAACTAGATGTACAACGTGATGGGCACTAATTTAGCTACAACTACTCGAGAGAGAGATCTTGAAGTCATTGTGAATAGTTCTCTGAAAACATCCAGTGGCTAGGTCTAGACTACTAGGCTACAAAGCAATTAATATCGCTGTGCCTCATTTGCATGCCTTATGAACCGCCATTTTTGCACAAGGGGCTTTTGTGCAAGAAGAAGCTGTCTACACTGCTCCTTGTGTAAAAACCCCCTCTTGCACAAAGCCGTTCTGCTGCTTATTTTCAGGCAGAACAGCTCTTGCGCAAGAGGGGGTTTTTGCATAAGAAGCAGCAGTGTAAACTGCTTCTTCTTGCGCAAAATGGAGGTTCATTAGATATCCAAATGAGGCACGACGATATTCATCGCCCTGCCTCATTTGCATATATTCTTGTGCAAGAATGCGCAATGTAGATGTAGCCCAAGGTTTTGTCTTGTCTTGATTCTTTTGTCAAAAGAGGCTTTTCCGACATTTGGCCCGTCTAGACTGGGCCAAATGTCAGAAAAAACCCTCTCTTTCGGAAGCCCCTTTCTTCCTCGTGGAAGGAGGAATACAGGGGCTTCCGAAAGCGCATTTGCACTTCCGCAAAAAAAAAGCGGAAGTGCAAACGCATTCCCTGGACACAGCAGGGTTTTCTCAGGATACCTCCGGTATCCTCAAAAGAACCCAGTCTAGACGTAGCCTCAGTGTGTAGCGGCAGTCAAAAAAGCAAATAGGAATCATTTAGAAATGGATAGAGAATAAGACAAAAAAATCTTAATGCCTCTATATAAAACCATGGTGCACCCACATCTTGAATATTGCATACAGATGTGGTCACCTCATTTCAAAAAAGATATATTGGCATTGGAAAAGGTTCAGAAAAGGGCAACAAAAATGTTTAGGGGTTTGGAATCAGGTCACATATAGAGATTAAAAAGACTTGAACTTTTCAGCTTAGAAAAGGGGAGACTAAGTGGAAGGGGATATGATAGAGGTCTATAACTGACTCATGACTGGTGTGGAAAAAATGAATAAGAAAAAGTTATTTACTTATTCTCACAATATAAGAACTAGGGGTCACCAAATGAAATAGGCAGCAGGTTTAAAACAAACAAAAGGAAGTTTTTCTTCACTCA